TGAGAGAGTGTAACAATAGAATACGAACGACCCCTTCGCCCACAACGAAGTCTGCCGAGATTTACTCGATATTCCTTGCTCTCGGCTTTTGTCTGTTTCGGGACATCTTCGGTCGTCCAACACTTGTTGACGATTTCTTCGGATCGCTTTGGATGTTACTCGGAATTAGCACGAGATCATACGGTTTCCCGATGCTACTTATTGTTTGTTTCGGACTGCTTTCGAAAATGGATTAGTATCTCACAATTATTTCAGGATGGTGTTTGAAAAAACAATGCTTTACCTTGCAGAAATGTCTTAAAAGGTGTGATCGGCGCATCGTGGGAACTTTAAGGAAAAATGTCTTCTTTGAAGAGAGAGTATTTTACCATTCGAATCTGCGAATTATGCCCAGTAGATCCGAAGATATAACTTTTTCAGTTCTTACCGTGACACCACAAAAGATAATAAACATTTCAAAATAATTTTACAGTGGCGTCTCCGGCACCAAATTGACAAAAGACTTTTCCTCTCAGAAATAACTAAACAGGCGGAATGGCGGAATAACCCACAAAGCGGAGTGCCTTGTTGTATGAAACAAAGGCCTCACAAAAAAATAATTGCAATGAACTACGAAAATAATTTATGATTAACTGACAAAATCAAAGTAAAAATTAAAAGAAGCCTAGTTTAATTATTGTTAGAGCCTAGAGAATAGATCGATAGAGGAACAGTGACCTCCAAAAGTTATTATTGTTATTATCATTATTATCATCATTATTATTATTGTTATATTTTTTTCACAATCTAATCCTTTTCATCATCATCAATATTATTATTGTCGATGCTAAAATAAAAATGTGTCTTTATTGTTCAAGAGATAAAATTACACTAGCCCTAAAATATTAATCATAATAATTTAATAAATTCACAAAAAGGTAGAAACCAAAAAAAAAGGGAAGGTATATATAAAAACTTGGTAAAATTCACAAAACTACGTTAGACAGGCGGTAGCGTTATCGAGGGAGAAGTCCAAGTGGATGATATCAAGGGTTCTTCTGATGGATCGCGATCCTCTCAGGCATAGCAAAGTTGAACGAATGAGCGCAAATGACACCTTGGCTCTAATCCATGACATGGTGCTTGCATAGCTCTCTACCTTCTTATTTGATACTAACTCGGCTAAACGTTTATGGTATATTTTACATTCTGTGCCCATTCCACCTGTTGTACTAAATATTAAAGGCGTAAAAGTTCCTGGTTTCGACCTCCATGACCCTATTATTATTATTATTATTATTATTATTATCATCATCATCATCATCATCATCATTATTATTATTATTATTATTATTCTAATCAGAGAATGTTTAGAAATACATTTGATGATAAAAATTAACGGTAAAAAACTACGACGTTTCGAAGTCTGCATGACCTCATTATCAAGTAAAATGTTAAAACTGATGTAAAATTGTAGCTCAGAGATTATATACAAATAAAATGTGATAACTTCATTAGAATAATGAGCGTTCATTGTTATTGGTGTCAGATCGTGCAGTATATGTTTAAATAAATACTTTTGCACGTATTGAGTCAGACTGCGTGTTTAACTTTGGTTTTTGTTCGCGAATGAATAACATTTCGTGGATTAGGCAGTCCATTTTCCCGCGGCATTTCTTGAGAACGGAAAACATTTTCCCCAGGCCAGCGGACGCTACACCGTGGGCCTCCCTCAGATGCTTGCCAATGACAGTGGCTTTATGTTCTTCTATGCGTTGATGAAGATGGCGTGTGGTATAACCGATATAATCCGCATCGCACGAATCACATTTAAAAGTGTAAACAACGCATTGGTGGTTAATTAAAGCGGGCTTCTCTTCTTGTATCTTGAGCTTTCCCTCGATCTTACGACTCGTGAAAACTGGTTGTAGGTCAGTTCCGATTTTCCGGCCAAGATCTTTCAGCTGATGTCTTACTGTGTCGGCCGATTTTTGGTCTTTAAATGGTAAAGTTATTCTGACAGGTTTTTGTGTAGCCGCGTCAAGTTCAGTTGGGGTTTCGTGACGGCTTTGGATCGTAGAACTCGTGTACCAGGCGATAGCTGAGTTGATGAGTTTCACTGGGTACTTAAGCTTAGTAAACATCCGCTTGAGATGCTGGCATTCCTTCGTAAAAGATTCTTTCGTTGATGACAGGCGGTAAGCTCGGTTCAGCATTGTATTCAGCAGAGANGATCCTCTCAGGCATAGCAAAGTTGAACGAATGAGCGCAAATGACACCTTGGCTCTAATCCATGACATGGTGCTTGCATAGCTCTCTACCTTCTTATTTGATACTAACTCGGCTAAACGTTTATGGTATATTTTACATTCTGTGCCCATTCCACCTGTTGTACTAAATATTAAAGGCGTAAAAGTTCCTGGTTTCGACCTCCATGACCCTATTATTATTATTATTATTATTATTATCATCATCATCATCATCATCATTATTATTATTATTATTATTATTATTATTATTATTGTTGTTGTTAATATGATTTTTTGTTACCATTTGATTATTGGTGGTTGAGTGTCAATTAGTCACTATATTCTTGAATCATCTTTTCCTGGAAAAAGCTTGACTCATAAATATGTGGGATGCGGTAGCAGTAGCCATATACAGTCTTAACTGCCTATTTTTAATAATGATGTCGTTCTCTCACAGAGTGGCGTGGAATTCATTGCGAGCCCAGCAGGATCTGTAGCTGACGATGTTTGCGTCAAAGCAGCTGATGAACATAACATGACAATGGTTCTCACTGATGTGAGACTCTTTCACCACTAATACCAACTGGAGAAGAGTTAGGGTGACAAAACTTTCAAGTGACGCCTCGTCATAAAAATGGAATACAACCGTTTGAGCGGCATTTAATCTTGAACATTACAACGCTTCAAGTTAGCTTAAAAAGTAAATTATCTCTTCTACTCGTGTGTCGTTTGCTCGTGGTCTTTGGCGGGTTGATTTCCTTTAAGCTTTTAAGCAAGAGAGGATTTGTTTAGATTGTATCAAGTCATATTAAGCGAAAGTCAAAAAACGGAAATATGTTTCAGGAAAGAGATGAAGGAAAACACGATCTAGTCAGTTCAGAAGTAGTTTCCTTTGGCGTGAAGAGACCAAAAAACGACTCCAAACGAACTACCGCCCATTTATGTCGTGAAGATTCTGACTACATTCGTCTAGCCCAGTCTATCTTGTGCAATGAGTTTTCGGATAATCCCTTTTAACTTAATGCAACACTGAAATTGGTTTGGTTTTGGAAATTTCTCACAGTAATGAGCTCACTTCCCACCTCTCTAGTCCAGGTCCGATCTCAAATATGTGGGTTAAGTCTACGGTTAGTCCTCGTCCTCAGTGTAAAAGGGTTTTCTCCAAATCTCCGGGTTTCGTTCGTCAGAAAAGATCAACATGCCAGATTCTACATTGCACCGAGAGAACGACTGGAAGATGTGCCCAAAGCAATTTAGACTCACCCTCAGGCCCTTAGAAACTCTGTTATTCAGTCCTCGTGAAAGCTTCACACCTTTATACACTTCATACACTGAAAGCTTTGCACCTTTATACACTGAACTTGAGTAACAACATCTTAATGTACGGGATTCTGCCAGTATCAACTGACGAGGTCGTCGTAGACGTAAGTAGTTTTAAAGGTCGCGAAGTCAGTTTAGTTTGTCGAAAGTAAACGAAAATAAGAATTTCCTGAATAAGATGATGAACAGACCACTGTTATTTAATTAGGTTTTGAGGAAAAGCAAACTATATCATCGTTACCAAAAATGAAAAGTTATTCCTAAACTCGCTATTGACGAGTAAGATCGTCAAGTGATAGCCGTGGTAACTTGATAAAACCGTTAAAAGAGGCGGTTTGTTGACGGAAAGATGGGCCGTAACTCGTGTTAATACACGACTCGGGCTGTCAGAGGGCCAATAACTAAAAACCAGTCAAAATGCTCTATTGCCGGTCAATATTCTCTCAGTATTGGACCGGGCACTCTCCCGCATGATACCGCACTTGTGTCCCTTTGAACTTCAGTCGTATAATAAATCTCTTATTAACCAAGCTTGCTCGGGACCGCACTGGAAGAACATCGGCCCTCGGTCTTTTTTGTACGGACCTCGCTGCGCTGGGTCCGTGCTGTCAAGACCTCGGGCCGATATTCTCCCAGTACGGCCCTCGCGCTTGGTTAATAAGATATATTTAACTCACACTACAAGTCGCACGCTCCGTTGTATCTTAGCTATGTCGATTCCTTCCCCTATGATGTCACCAGAATAACAAAAACTCGGACGCAATGGCTGTTGATCTTACAAAAACATCGGCATTCTACGTATGCAAGAGTTAATTTCTTTTGGATCATTGGGTGGATTGAATGGGACAATAAATTATTGATCTTTGCATTTTATGACAGAAAAAGATCATTTACTTTGAAAAGATTCCAATTTAAAAATATCGTTAAATCGAGAGCGAAACAACCTTTCAATTCATCTGAAATAAACTCGGGCACATATGTCTTACAGTGTCTGAATAATTGTTTACAAAAGTAAAAATGCACTGGTGCCACGCTTCCCTTAGTCTATTCACACCCTTTTTTTGGTCTCATCATACAATTGAGTCAATCGTCGCACAATCGCGGTATCCTACGTATATGACAAATGGCAGGAGAGGACGATACTCTTCTGATTAGTGCAAGAATTCACCAATGCTGTGATCTGACTGGTGCGAAATACATATCGTAATGCAGCGATCTTCTTGGTGCGAGGTACATACCCTAATGTGACGATCTGATTGCTGCGAAATATCCAAATGCGGCAATGTCCGGTATTCAACAGTCCAGCAATACTTATTTGGCGAAAAAGAACTTCTAAACAAATTCTTATTACTACCTACTGGGGATGATTTAAACTAAAATAAACTGCTGTCCTCTCGTCAATCGTTGAACAAAGAGAAGTTACATGTAAAAGGATTCCAATCCACAAATAAGTATGTTTCATAAACTTTATTGACAGTTCGTATGCATATATGAAACGAAAAAATTCCCTGTACAACAAGTTGTGAAAATAAAGCATTTTTGATGTTCTGTTGAAATAGAAAACAACAACAACAACAACAAAAAACAGCACGACACTTCAGAAATAAGAACTGAGTTTTCGTTTGTTCTTTTTCAATTTTAATACTTTGACCATCCAAGCCACATGTCACAATTGTCACCTACTCTGGGGTTTGATTGGCAAACCACCCAAGATTAGGTTAATTGGACCGGCTGGTGTCGAGTAATCATCATCAGAATCACTTTCTCCATCATCTTCCTCATCAGAATTATCAGAATCCGAGTCATTGCTCTCTTCGTCATCATCTGAGTCAATACCTTCTTCACAATTATCATCTTCCTCGTCACTTTCATCATCATCCCCACTATCTTCAGCAGCAACTGCATCTACAACAAATTTTAAAAAATCTACTGATGTTCCACAAAACTGCAATTGTGATATTACTTGGAAAAAAAAAACAGGTTACACTTCACCGCTTTAAAACATTCTTCAAGCTTCATTTCTTTTTCTGGAAAGATCTAGAGACAACTCCGTTTTCCAGTCTTCTTTATTCTTTTCAAATGAACGTCAAAGCTCTTTTTGTACATTCTGCTTTTTCTCAAAAAAGGAATAAGCACCATTTCCCTAATAAGCGTCCTGTTTCGAAATAAAAATAAGTGCCCCGGGCGCAAAATGGAATAATTATGTATTAAAGGCTGATACACTCTTGGCAATAAAAAAGATATGGTCAGTATTAGATGATTAAGGGACTCACGCAAATACAAAATTTTACATGAAGGGGTAAAAGATCAGGTTAGCAGAGAGGACAATGGAAATGACAAGGGTCCGGTTAAGACACTCTCTGCACCTTGAACGGTGTCCTCTATATGAATTTTGTTTACGGCTCTTGAAACCACTGATGACGGACACCTCGTCTCTCAAGATTTTTTCTCATGTGCAGTTTGTAACACAGAAGTATTGGCTTTAAAGCAACAAACCTTGTTGAATTTTTTCCACGATGACAGCGTGAAATTCACTGCATAATTTGTTATCTGGTTCCAGAAGAAGAACTGATGATAGAACCACGTAATGATGACAAGTTGGTGGTAAAAAGAGAAATTTTATGTAAACAAGGAGATGTGTACACATGTACCTTCAATTGTAAATAGTTAACAATTACAAACATAGAGTATCTTGTTGTATTTTTTACTCATTCTCAGTGACAATTCAGGCTTTAACCTATATAGATATTATAATAGACGTAGATGGCTGTTTTACTGACAATATGAATGGTAGGATTAGATTTCCACAGATTATCTTGAATTGTTCTGTATAAGCAAGAGATCTGAATTGCACAGGTTGTGTGGGATACAAAGTGCAGTTGCATGATTGAATTTTAATACAATAATTCAATAGCTGTGTTACAATTATAACAGTTTACTGCACAATTTTTGAGGTTGTTCCTGCATTTTGAGAGAATTTTCTAATCTTTGCCAAAGTACTTGAAACAGTTAGAGGTTAGCAGCACTTAGTTATGTTTCAGCACCAGTCAGTCTGTTTAAATAACCCCATTGGCCAAAAAGAATGACTGCTTACCCTTTTGGCAGAGCTCCTTGGCTTTTTCATAGTTTTCATCCATGACAGTAGTTAGGAACTGAAGCAAAAATTAAAACATTATTAACACTTGAAGAAAAATTAATATTGTAGCATTAAAATACACAGTACCTCTGCTTTGAGTTCATCTAGAGGTTCCATGTTTTTTATTTGATCTGCTGTTCTGTGATCTTTTCCCTCCTGAATTTCCTCTGATGATGATGATGATGATGATGATGATGATGATGATGATGAATCACTACCAGAGTTGTCTTCATCACTGGGAACCTTGGCAGTCTGTCTTGGCAAGTTTTCCATTTCCTGGATTTGTTTACTGTGCTTAATCTTACCTGTAACAAAATTATGACTCAAGATCTGGTCATTATGTAACTAAGACATTGAAATCATTTTCATCATCATTATTGTTGTTATTATTAGTATCATTTATTATCACTACTGTCATTATTGTTAAATGATCAACTATCAAATAATTTAACTGGAATCATCAAATGCAATTCTAATAAGAACAACCTATTCACTTATCATCATTGATGATATCCATCAAATTACAACACAGTTAAATGAGAAAATAAATTCTCTAATTATAGCAGAAAAAATCTGATGAAGAAACACTGGAAGGTATTGCACATTATACCAAACCAACATATTTTTCTTCAATGAAAGCCTCCCTCCCTCTTTTACATAAAAAAAAAACTGAAACAATCAAGCATTGTTCATAATAAACTTTAAGATAAACTCTAGGATAAACTCTAATATTCTAAGATAAATTCTAGGAGAAATTCTAGATTAACTCTAAGATTAACTCTAAGATAAACTAGAGGAGTTGTCACTAAGGAACCTCACCTAAAGTGGCAAGGTTAATAAGTGATCAAGGCTAGAGGTCTAGCTGAAAGCTTTTACTCTTTAGGTAAGCATATTCCATGTACAAAAGTTGAAATATTTTTATTCTGATTCCTCCCCTGATAGATGAGATTCCTTGATTTTGGTCATCTAACAGCTATTTAATATGCAGCACACCTTGCAGTGTGACAAAAGTCTCCTCTCATGGTAATGCACTCCGCACTCTCCCATCCTATCAAACCTGATTTCGGTATTTTCGTGATTTTAATTTAGGCAAATTTAAACTAGGCCAGGAAGTAGACCCCTCTTATGCAAACTACTTTTTTAAAACCTTTCAAAACATCCTGGATTGGACAGATGAAAATTCCATCATAACTGTAGCACTTCATGAGCAAAATGCACTTCAAGGAATATCTTTTCTTTCTCACTTACTCATTTGGTACGAGACTGAGCATAGATCAATTAATTATACAATCCTGGTAAGAAGTAGGTATATAAGTATTTTAAATAATTTAAAAGTAATATTACCAAGAGAAATCATCTCAGCTCCAGCACTATTACATCTGGTTGGAATCTCATCTACCAATTCCTTTTTCCTCGCAAGTTGAAGGCTCCTCTCGACACGTCCTGCACTCCCACCCCTGACAGCTGTGCTGGAACTAGGCCTTAAAATACCTTGACACTCAAATTTAACAGCCCCAGGCTCTACAACATTAAAAATATGAAAGACCAGCCTTGAATATTTAACATCCAAAGGAAGGTAGGTATACTTACTTCAGGTGGAATTGATACATTTTATGAAAACAATGAAGCAAAAAGGTTTGAAAACTTAAAAACATATAAGTACATGTATGCAAGGGTCTCAGCACTCCAGAGTATTAAATTCTTGAATCTCAAGTCCTTTTACATACTGTACCAACTGACATGTGTTAACAGTTAAGCATCAAAGTATGTTTTAAGCTACTATAAGTTAATTATTTTCAGCACTTCACTTATTGGAGCTAGCACTGTTAAAAAGGGCTCAATACACATTTGTGTNAGGTCAGTGGTTCGAATCCCGTACAGGCCTGAAATTTTTTTCAGGTCTGATTTCCACTATTGCTCAAATAGTGCTTTACTGCGAAGGATCGTTCTTATATACGTCTCATAACCGCAGTTCACTCATATGTTTCATATGTTTGTTGTTGTTCGATTTATCATCTACGGGTTTATATCGAATTAATTTGATGGCCTGCTCCCAGTTGGCTTGTTAGCTCAATTGGTAGAGCGCTGCACTAGTATCGCAGAGGTCAGTGGTTCGAATCCCGTACAGGCCTGAAATTTTTTTCAGGTCTGATTTCCACTATTGCTCAAATAGTGCTTTACTGCGAAGGATCGTTCTTATATACGTCTCATAACCGCAGTTCACTCATATGTTTCATATGTTTGTTGTTGTTCGATTTATCATCTACGGGTTTATATCGAATTAATTTGATGGCCTGCTCCCAGTTGGCTTGTTAGCTCAATTGGTAGAGCGCTGCACTAGTATCGCAGAGGTCAGTGGTTCGAATCCCGTACAGGCCTGAAATTTTTTTCAGGTCTGATTTTCACTATTGCTCAAATAGTGCTTTACTGCGAAGGATCGTTCTTATATACGTCTCATAACCGCAGTTCACTCATATGTTTCATATGTTTGTTGTTGTTCGATTTATCATCTACGGGTTTATATCGAATTAATTTGATGGCCTGCTCCCAGTTGGCTTGTTAGCTCAATTGGTAGAGCGCTGCACTAGTATCGCAGAGGTCAGTGGTTCGAATCCCGTACAGGCCTGAAATTTTTTTCAGGTCTGATTTCCACTATTGCTCAAATAGTGCTTTACTGCGAAGGATCGTTCTTATATACGTCTCATAACCGCAGTTCACTCATATGTTTCATATGTTTGTTGTTGTTCGATTTATCATCTACGGGTTTATATCGAATTAATTTGATGGCCTGCTCCCAGTTGGCTTGTTAGCTCAATTGGTAGAGCGCTGCACTAGTATCGCAGAGGTCAGTGGTTCGAATCCCGTACAGGCCTGAAATTTTTTTCAGGTCTGATTTTCACTATTGCTCAAATAGTGCTTTACTGCGAAGGATCGTTCTTATATACGTCTCATAACCGCAGTTCACTCATATGTTTCATATGTTTGTTGTTGTTCGATTTATCATCTACGGGTTTATATCGAATTAATTTGATGGCCTGCTCCCAGTTGGCTTGTTAGCTCAATTGGTAGAGCGCTGCACTAGTATCGCAGAGGTCAGTGGTTCGAATCCCGTACAGGCCTGAAATTTTTTTCAGGTCTGATTTCCACTATTGCTCAAATAGTGCTTTACTGCGAAGGATCGTTCTTATATACGTCTCATAACCGCAGTTCACTCATATGTTTCATATGTTTGTTGTTGTTCGATTTATCATCTACGGGTTTATATCGAATTAATTTGATGGCCTGCTCCCAGTTGGCTTGTTAGCTCAATTGGTAGAGCGCTGCACTAGTATCGCAGAGGTCAGTGGTTCGAATCCCGTACAGGCCTGAAATTTTTTTCAGGTCTGATTTCCACTATTGCTCAAATAGTGCTTTACTGCGAAGGATCGTTCTTATATACGTCTCATAACCGCAGTTCACTCATATGTTTCATATGTTTGTTGTTGTTCGATTTATCATCTACGGGTTTATATCGAATTAATTTGATGGCCTGCTCCCAGTTGGCTTGTTAGCTCAATTGGTAGAGCGCTGCACTAGTATCGCAGAGGTCAGTGGTTCGAATCCCGTACAGGCCTGAAATTTTTTTCAGGTCTGATTTCCACTATTGCTCAAATAGTGCTTTACTGCGAAGGATCGTTCTTATATACGTCTCATAACCGCAGTTCACTCATATGTTTCATATGTTTGTTGTTGTTCGATTTATCATCTACGGGTTTATATCGAATTAATTTGATGGCCTGCTCCCAGTTGGCTTGTTAGCTCAATTGGTAGAGCGCTGCACTAGTATCGCAGAGGTCAGTGGTTCGAATCCCGTACAGGCCTGAAATTTTTTTCAGGTCTGATTTCCACTATTGCTCAAATAGTGCTTTACTGCGAAGGATCGTTCTTATATACGTCTCATAACCGCAGTTCACTCATATGTTTCATATGTTTGTTGTTGTTCGATTTATCATCTACGGGTTTATATCGAATTAATTTGATGGCCTGCTCCCAGTTGGCTTGTTAGCTCAATTGGTAGAGCGCTGCACTAGTATCGCAGAGGTCAGTGGTTCGAATCCCGTACAGGCCTGAAATTTTTTTCAGGTCTGATTTCCACTATTGCTCAAATAGTGCTTTACTGCGAAGGATCGTTCTTATATACGTCTCATAACCGCAGTTCACTCATATGTTTCATATGTTTGTTGTTGTTCGATTTATCATCTACGGGTTTATATCGAATTAATTTGATGGCCTGCTCCCAGTTGGCTTGTTAGCTCAATTGGTAGAGCGCTGCACTAGTATCGCAGAGGTCAGTGGTTCGAATCCCGTACAGGCCTGAAATTTTTTTCAGGTCTGATTTCCACTATTGCTCAAATAGTGCTTTACTGCGAAGGATCGTTCTTATATACGTCTCATAACCGCAGTTCACTCATATGTTTCATATGTTTGTTGTTGTTCGATTTATCATCTACGGGTTTATATCGAATTAATTTGATGGCCTGCTCCCAGTTGGCTTGTTAGCTCAATTGGTAGAGCGCTGCACTAGTATCGCAGAGGTCAGTGGTTCGAATCCCGTACAGGCCTGAAATTTTTTTCAGGTCTGATTTCCACTATTGCTCAAATAGTGCTTTACTGCGAAGGATCGTTCTTATATACGTCTCATAACCGCAGTTCACTCATATGTTCCATATGTTTGTTGTTATATACATAACATAGAACTCTTTTCTTTCACTACAAGAATCAGCCAATATCTTTCACCATTTTAACTTAATTAATTGGCTATTGAGATGATTAGGATCCATATCTATTTTAGAAGATGTAAACAGAAACAGATGGCCACTTTTTTTCTTCATTGACAAAGACTGGTGGATTTGACTTTCAATACTTTTGTGAAAATACTGTAGGGCCAAGTATTCAATATTGCATTGACCTACACTCACAATGTACCTGGAGGGAGCTCAATCAAACCTTTAGGGGTTACCTATGGATAAAATATCAAGTCAGTATTATATAAAGGCCAAAGTAAGTCTCTCTTATTGAACCTTGCAGAGATAATGGTACTTGCTATTCAGTACTGAAACCGAACTATCTCAAAAGAGGTTTGTGACAGTAATTTACAGTGTCTAGTAATATTTGGATAAAAGTTGTGACCATTGCTTTTTGTTAGGGAGAATAATGAAAGCCTAATTAAAAATTCAATCTTGAACATGAACCTAGCTTTTTCGAATGTGATACAGTACAATTCCAAGCTCTAGTGTGTGTGCCCCCCCCCATCCCTTCCTTTCCCTTTAGATAAAGGAAGCAAAGTCCAAATCTGTACCTTTCCCACAGTCTTCTTTATTGATCCAAACGGTCCACTATGTAACATAAAATTTAAGAGATGAAAATTACAATCAATTTTTGTTCCAAATTTCAAAAATATCATACACTTTATAATTTGGTAAGCATTGAAAATTAAGACTAACTTATAAACATAAAGCAAGTGTCACCTGGAGCCACTCTGACAAAAGTGACTGGGGATGTGATAACAAATGATAAAAGTAAAAAAAATTCTCTGTAATATTGAATCATCCTCGGTGTAAAAACCTGACGAGGTTTTCTTTGTTTCATGAGGTATTGTTTTACTGTACGCTATTGTTTATAATGTTTTGTTGTCTTTTTTTTACGTCACTTGTGAGCTTCACAGGTTTTTACACCGAGGATGAGGCGCAATATTAACCCTACTATTGCTTCTTGAAAGGTTAATAATACAATCTGTTGAACAAATTAACCACAATTTTCCATTGTCTATAGCCTTATTGATCATAGAAATGACAATGCTCAAAACTTAAGTCAAAGGTACAGCCGAGTGGTTTCACTGCAAAGTTTTGAACATTGTTAGTGTCATTTCTAAACAATAAGTGTCAAGACAAGAAAAAATTGTGGTCAACTTGTTTTTCACCATGCAGCTAATGTACCAAAGTTTTGGGAGAATCACCTGCATGTTGCATGATCCATCATACCTCTGTTGTTTATACTATTGTTGTTTTATTGTGTGTTAGGTAATGACTTCTAAAATGAAATACCACTAAGCGATGGATGGCAATAGACTGTTACCCTGAATTGTTTTAATCAGCCACTTGGTATTTATTTTTTAGCCTTTTGCTTCGGCATTGGCAAGTGTTTGTACAAGGTTGTCTTCTTCCAATCTTACCAACCAAAAATGGGCATTCTTTTACTTAATATTTTTCCTTCACTTTTTCTTCCAGTTCAACAAGTTTCTCTTCAAAATTTTCTCTGAGTATGCCTTTCTTAAAATTTGGATATTTGTCACAAAAAAGAATATTTTCAGTTGTTTTACAACATAATTATGCAATGCTCAGCATCCTGAGTGAAATGGGTTGATATCTCATTTTTATCATCTATAACCATGTTGACAAATTGACTCTCGACCGATGAGCATGGGAGAATTTCTACAGGTATTGTAAAGATTTGAATTGATGTGAATGCTAGAAATGTATGTACAATCAAACCTCCGCTAACATCCACTTTGCCCAAGAAAGTCGTTGTAGAGTAGAGACAACATTTCACAATTGACTCAAGGTTTTAATAAATCGATTCCTTACAATACAACAAGTATCAAAGTGCTAAGCAAAATGAATAGATAAAAAATATAAATAAACTGAAAAGACAAGAAACTCTTAAAGGCATATCACTAACAGATTTCGTTGCACAGAGTATATTAATTGCATGGAGTACTTTAATTACAGTATAAACACAAACTTAAACTAAAACCTAATATTCTCATCGTTTGACATGGCATCCCAAAAATGTTAATCTTTCAATTCTAATGTACTTTGCAATCAAAAGGGTATAGTATTCAACTAGTCGCAAATTTAATCATCGTGCAAACTCATACAATATTTTGACACCCATCAGGATCCAAAGTGTTTCCTTCATTACAAAATTCCCCCCTACATCGAGAAACATCTAGCCCTACCTGGACACCTCACTGTTCCCTTTTTCAGCATTCATTTCGCTTGGGTGACACATACTCATCGAACTGTTCCCAGCGTGACTCATTTTACGCACCTTAAATTCAGAAAAATTGATATGGGTAGCTAGGTTCAGCTCGCATGTGCAAAAACAAAAACAAAAACAAAAACTAACAGCTGTCGCTGCAAAAGGAGCCTAAATCTGTCACCTTTCGCCATGCAAACTTCTCGATCCCAAGCTGTCACCTACTCTGTTCTTGCGCATGTGTATTATGGGTCTTTGAAGGACACTCGAATGAGCAGGATACAAGAATGGCGAGCTCTCATATTTGTTCTTGTGTTGGTAATTTACGACCACGGTATAAGCGATTAGTCGATAATATATATCCAGCTGACCCGCGTCAAGGCTTAGTTAAAGCAAACATGGACAAGCTAATATTCTACGCTCTTTCTTCACCTGAAAAATTGGATAGAATTGGTTCCTATTTGGCCAAGAAATTAAACAATGACGTGGAACGTAGAAGGTTGGGGTTCGTTTTTATTACCGTGGAAGCCCTTGATCAGCTTTTGTTGGCTTGCCATGCCCCTAATTTAAACTTGTTCGTAGAAAGTTTTCTGAAAATGGTGCAAAAACTTCTGGAAAGCCCCGAAGCCGAACTACAAGTTCTCGGCAGCACCTCCTTCGTAAAGTTTGCAAATATTGAGGAAGACACCCCATCCTATCATCGACGCTATGATTTTTTCGTCTCTAAATTTAGTTCAATGTGCTGGTTTAGCTCTGGAAGTGAACGAGATTGCTTCAGGATTCGCTTAGCTGGGTTAAAGGGATTACAAGGCGTTGTACGGAAAACTGTGTCTGATGACCTCCAAGCCAACATCATGGATGAAACTCATATGACTAAGATTATTCCGTCTTTGTTATTCGTGATGGAAGAGAGCAGTAAGGGCAAAAGTTCAAGTGATCAACAGTTTCAAGTCTCCACCACTGAAGAGGATCCAGCTTCTTTAGCAGAATCATGCCTCAGAGAATTGATAAACCGAGCAAGCTATGGAAATATTAAATCAATTGTTAATCCAGTGTTAACTCACTTTGACAAGAGCGAACTTTGGGTACCCAATGACTTTGCACTCAAAGTTTTCAAGATCATTTTGTACTCAGTACAAAATCAGTTTAACTACATTGTCATCGAGAACCTTCTGTCTCATTTAGATAATCACATTAGAGACAAGGCAAAAGTGAAAGCCAGTATTGTGCAAGTCTTAGCAGCTTGTGTTAAAATTGCGAGTAACAGTTCCATAGGTCCAGCAGTGTTGGAGGTTTTCAACACCCTTCTTCGTCACCTTCGGTCTTCTGTCGACTCTCACACTGATGACAATGATGATGAGAGAGAATTTGAAGAGTCTTTGGTCAGTACTGTTGGTGCCTTTGCTGCAGTCCTGCCTGACTTTCAGAAAACTGACATAATGATGTTTATAATGGGTAAATTTCCCTTGCCAGATAGAAGACGTGAAAGTAAGCAGTATGCCAAAAGAGAAAATCATGCCAACATGGTGGGGGGCAATAGTGCTCTACAGAAAATGCTTCTCCAATGTCTTCTTAGTGTTGCACAGAGCTTCAACTCCATCTCCCTGACAACCACTTTTTCTCCAACATTTCTTGAATCTCTACTTCAAGCAACCATTGTTGAAGACCCAACTGTGAGAAGACTTGCTCATGAGATTCTTTACACACTGATTGATCGTCATGAAAACATTCACAAGCTTGGTGTAAACGGAATCTTAAAAAGAAGCAAGAAAATTGACTTAACCACTGAACAGTGCTCAAAACAGGACCTCCTTTTCTTCAGAAAGAACAAGGATGAAATACTATGGTATTTGTTTGAAAGTGCTTGCATGCTTTCAAATTCAGTGGAAAATCTTCTAGCTATCTACCTAACCATGGCCGTTATAACTATAGAGGTTGGAAGTGACCTTGAACTTATTTCCAGTGTGGTACAGATGACATTTGGATTACAGAAAGTTGCATTGGATGATGATTTGGTGTTACCAAGTATGGTTCGTTGTGCACTTCATGCACTTGTAGCAGGGTATCTCTGTGTGGTTGCTCAGTTGACTGGAAATCAGGTCCTTAAAGACTATGTTTCTCTTATCACCCATCTGAGAGAAAAGGAAGCTGATTTTCTGACCCCAGAAAGAGCTTTGAAACCTGCTGCCAATTCTCTTATGATTTCAGCCAACAGCTTTCCTAAACATCTCCTATTTGATATTTCAAACATCACTGAGGCTTTCCCTTTGATGGCAGATGATGGTAGATTACTGAAGACACCATACAAACACCAACCCCTAAAAGGGGTTTTGAATGATCATTTTGAGAGTGAATCAGAGGTGTCCAATATCAACAGTGAACTTGACTCAAACCTTCCCGGAGTTCAACCTTTAACACCAAAGGAAAGGATAACATTTCAAATGCTAAAAGATGTTGTGTCAGAAAAATCATCACGAGCTCTAAAGGAGAGAGGTAAAGATGCCAATTATTTAGCTTCAAGTTTTAACAAAATTGCAGATGATGCAAGTGCCAGAACACTAGAATTTAATTCTAAAGTACTAACTGTGCTGGATTCACTTAGCACCCCTCTTCAAAGTAGGGCTCTTAGTATATCAACACAAAGCCTGTCTTCAAATCCTGTAGAAGAAAGCTATATTATGAAGTTTTCTGGACAGTATGTTTATTAATGAAATACTATGATATCAAAAAAATTATTAACTTTTTTGTTTAATTAAAAGATCCATACAGTAATCTCTGACTAGCGTCTATGACTAAAATGATTTTTCATAACCAGTGAATTCCCAAATAAGATAAAAATTGGAATTGAAAGTGATTTGAACTTTATGAGTATTTAATGAAGGAATCTGTATTAAGGTTTTCCTTTTTTGTAAAGGATTTATTAGGATGACTAAATTTACAGGGTTATCTTGGTTACCAGTGCTTGAAGTAGAACAATCAGAATTTTTTAGGTGAGCACCACCACTTGTTAACTCCATTGTTTTTATATATACTTTTTTTAAATACTGATCAACTTTAACAGGGCAATATCTGTCTTTTTTCTCTCATTTCAATGGAGATGAATGCTGCAAAACCAAAAAGTTATCTTTCTCTGCCTTTAAAACGGTATGAAGAAATTTAACAGCATTCTGAGACTCTAAAAGGTGACCCAAGATGTCAAATTTGATTTTTTAAATGTACTCAACATTTGACCATGGATGAAACCAACTACAAACAAACAGCTAAGTAACCTGGTCATAACTCTAATGCAGAGGTCACAAAATGCTCCTGCTCTGGTCTGAGTCTAGAATGCCTTTCTGTGAAGATCCTAGTCATTCAAACAGATCACCCAATGATTGAAAAATGAGAAGTGAAAGTGTTATGTTAAAGGTAAATATCCAGTTTCTGTGTAGTCGTGGAATCCATCAGGAATGTTGGCACATTTGAGTACAATTTTCTTAAGTTAGGTTACCTTTTCCAAATCTCAGAGGGCAGTTACTGTCAAATTTAAATATAATATTTATTGGCAGAGACAAAAATTATGTGGTTTCTGAAGCATTCTTCTTCATATTATGTGTAAGGGTTCCATCTGGTACTGATTTTTTTAACTTTCTAAATAACTGATAGATCTCCATTATTTTTCTTTTTTTTCACTTATTTTCTTGTATGTGATCATTGGAGTCAAAGATTTGTGACTCTTTCATACCAGGATGGGTTAACCACCTCTGAAATTTTTCAAACTTTCTTTTGAAAAATGGATGGGATGCAGTAAGCTTTGGTGGTTGGCAGATTTTCAACTTTTCTATTTTTGCAAGTGATTTCCTCAAACCGAAAACTGCCTACACATCTTTTCATGTAGTTTTTGAGGTTTGTTCCTCAGTATCTTTTGAACGGTATACTGTACACTTGCAGTAAGTTCTAAGGTGGGCATTTCATAACTTGATCACGGTTGTTAGCATAAGGGGTTAAGTTTTTTGGAAAATACTTTCTTGGAGATGGAAAACAAATTATTTCAATCTATGATTATGATGGTAAGCTAGGCAAAGAGTAAGCTTGATGACAATAAATATCAACCAGTAAAGCTCTTGTAAATGTTAACATGCTCAATTTTTAATGATAATTTTGTGGTTACTGACACTTTCAAATGATAATACACTGATTTGGATTTGCTCTTTTGGGGAAGGTGTTGGACAGTACCTGTTGTTGCCTATGGTTCAAATTTTATTTTCCCTTGTGAGGCGTAGTAGTATGTGATGATGGGTTTGAAAAAGGAAGATGATATTGAAGAAGGATTACGAAACACTTAATTACACAAATCAACTTTAAAAGGTGTAAGTAAACAACATTTAGAAACAAATTGGTGCCCATTTTTATCAATGAAAAGTGCCCAAACAGGGAAATTATCTCCTAATATAAAAACCTGGTCCCAAAGATTTTTCTTTGACCATTAATTTTCTGATGCTTTGCGTCGACCCAATTTTGATTAAAAGGTATCAAAGGAAAACAGACTGATGATAGAGAAGTATATGACAAACACTAGTACTGGTTGTTGGATGTCTTGCTGAACAAGGGTATAAAGAATTTCAAATTGACTTGGTATCAAGCCAGTAAGGCTTGCTGCTCTATTTCTGATACCGACTTTGTTATGATAGTGATAATCTCCGCTAGGGTCAAAGGATCTGCAGAAGAAGATTAATATCTTTTCCGTGAACAGCACTTTTTAGGATTGATATGTCGTAAAAATGTGGTTTGATCGGGGGTTTTAAATAGATTCGGAAGTAAACGCAATTAATTTACCGCCGAAATAAAGTTAATATGCTGTGTGGCAAAGGCAAAGCAAATTGCGCCTTTCCAAAGGACCAGTGATGCTAAGGACCGCCACNGGAGGGGGCATCTTCAAATAAGTTTCCTTCGATTGTTTGTAAACTGCTGATGCAGTCTGGCCAAAGTCCCCCGAAAAGTGTTGTGATGCGCATTTCATCATATCCACATGTTAATTTGCGCAATATAAATATTAAATTATTATTATTGGTATATTAGCCAATATACCATAATCTACAAATATGGTAGGCGTACGCGTCAGCTTAAAATTAAAAGGGAGCTAAAAAATTTAAGAAAATTTAATAATTTAATTTAACGTTTTTAATAAAACAATTATTCCACTCGCGCTTGTTGGATCTCATATCCAACGCGCGTTCGTGGAGTAATTGTTAATTAGCTTGTTACATTTGCTGGTCAATTTTCATTGGCTATTTAGTTCGCCCATTCCAACTGTCGAAGTTACAGCTGCTAAAAAATCGGCCATGTTTAATTAAAGAGTTCTAGCGCTTCATCAGCCAAATTTAGCTGTAAATAAGAGCTGTTCAAAAATAATCAGATTGGTGTATTTCATTAAGAGGACCATTTTTTTACTGATGTCACGCCTGCGTGTATGGTGATTTCACAAATCATCTGTATGCAAAGAAGACAGGAGACTGCTTGGTAACGAGAGCTTAATCTCGTCAGTAGCCCGCCTGTAAAAGAACAACGCTATTGAGAGCGCAAGTCAGAGCAAGTAAGGTAAAAAACCATCGGGCTTGAAAATGAATAAAAACCAGTCAAACATTCTTGACTTAAGGAAAGAGAGACCCGTCAATAAAAGATGAAAAAGTTTGTTGAAAGTTTGTATTATTAAAAATTACTCAAATGGTATTGTTATAACATCTCCGTGCAATCCTTTTCCAGCATAGCTCCCATCTCTCTCTAAACATAACACTCATTACACTGCATTACACTCAAAATTCTGGTTGACTTAGTGAAGGTTCTTAGTGATTTAAATTTAACGTTTTTTTCTACTTATCATCAAATTCACACGTACAACTATCGTTCACATTATTGCAGAACTAATGTCGAGCAGTTTGCAATCTTGCACCACGGTCCAAAGGTTTGGAATTCCCTACCTCATGATCATATCCTATCCCACAGATTTTCTGTCTTTAAGATTTCGCTTAAAAAATTCTTAATTGACAGAAATCTAAATTAAACTTGTTCATCCGTAGTTAACTTACTGATCTAACTTCTACATCGTGTGAGGAACCCACATTTGATAAGCTCCTTACTTCTGCTGGGCTTCTTCGCCACACTACTTAAAAATGACCGTAAATTGTAACTTTATTTAGTTTAGGTATCATGATATTGTCTTAAAATAATATTTTGATAGTTATTATTTTAGATTGCTGTAAACAACCGTAATTTATTCTTGTGCTTGTGTGTAAGTGGCAAATAAATAAGTGAATAATAAAAAAACATATGTGAGACAAAGCTAGATTTACTTTATTAACTTAGTCACCAAAGCTCCAAACCAACTCGAAGTTATCTCAAGTTGTCGCGATCCTGTATCACTCGTTTGGCTTTGACCTTCCTTAGAATTTGCTTTTCACTATGACTGATGATATAGTATGACATCTTTTGTTTACAAAATTTGAACTGTCATTTATCAACCTAACTTGAAGTAAAGTTGTCATGAACAGCATTAAACAGTGGCCTCATTCCAAAGTTTTCCATTGGCCATATGAATATAATGTGGGTATATAACTCTTGCGTTTTCATCTCTACCTAATCGTCTTGCCTTCCCGTTGTTCGTCATTTCAACAGGCGTTTCTTGAATTACTTTTGCATCGCGAACAGCAGCCATGTTAAAAAATGAATTGGCATGGTCATCTCCTACATGGGTCTTTTCTGATGTTTGTTCAAACCGTGTCTCCCTTTTTCTGTCTGTACAAATCATTTGGTTGCTAGGATGAATGCTGTCGTTTTTTCCTTTATTTGAATTTCGCTTGCAGGAATAAAATCTGCAACACAACACGACTAAAAACGCGTCGCGAAATCGCTCGCTCCTCAAGCCAATCAAATAAGGATTAATGGCAGAGTTCATGAAGCCACACCAGTAAGCTTCGATTCCTAAGCCACGTGGTAATTTTTCTCGGGAAGAAACTGAAACAGCAACCACGATGTATACAAAGAATGGCGTCCAGCAAATGATGAATACTACTAAGGCAAGGAAGAACGTAAAGACAGTTCTTTCTTGATTTTGTATTAAAGAGTATTGAGAATTACCCATTGTAGAAGTTGACAACCGCCTTGTGTGATTCCGTACAACGATATAAATTCGTATGTATGCATGGCTCATTACAACTAAAGGCAGTAAAAACGCGATCACAGCCAGACATATAATGTACAATCTTTCAAATTTATTTTCAGGAAATTTAAATCCGCATTGTAATGCTGAGGCGTTGTAGACATTGCGACCCCAGCCAACCATAGGTCCAATAGAAATTGTCACTGATAGCATCCATACACCAATTACGCTGAAAAATGCTTTTCTCTTAGTCATAATTTTTTCCATTGGCTTTACCACGGCGAAAAACCTGTCCATTGATATTGCAGTGTGCGTAAATATTGTGTTGCAAATTAAGACAGAGTTACAGAAGGCGTTTAGCTGACACACAGGCCCAGTGCCAAATGTCCACTTTCTCATTAAAGCAGTTTCGAGAGGAGATAGCATAGTCAAGAAAGTCATGGTGATATCACCAACGGCGAGATTCACCAAGAACATGTTCATTTCTGTCCACATTCTTCTGTTGCGGAAAACCACGTAGCAAATTACAACGTTTCCTGTTAAACACGCTACCATGATGACGAGCAAAGTGGCCGCAGCAAAAGCAGTTTCTGCGACTGTAAAATCCACGAGGAAATTGTCATCATTCTCAGTTGGAGACAAAATGGAGCGGTTTGGAGCAATTGTTTTCTCCCCGTCCATGTTAAGAACTTTCTGCAAGAATTCGCAAAGAAAACGAGAAAAGTTACACTATAATTTTCCTTGAGCTTTCGCTTGAAGTGTGTATTGTTTTAGGTTGTACAAAACATGCAAACAAATTTGCATTTGAAAATCTTCATATTTAACCGTTCTAGGCGGTTTCACATAAATTTTACTTTCAGTTATTTTTCAAGTCAAATACAAAACATTTCCTTTAAAATTTAATTTCACATTCAGAGTCGAAACCACAGAAAATACGGTTATATACCGATCAACTGACACCTGCCAAGTCAGGCAGGAAGCTTGATGAGAATTTACGAACATTTACCTGTTGAGTTAAAGTCACGAAAACACTATTCTTCTTACAACAGCGATAAAACTTCTGAAATCTGCACCGCAACTTGGTCTCCTTACAATGTACGCTCAAATGTGGGAAGGCCTCCAACTAATTCAGGCGCGATGTTCACTGCCGGTACCAACCTGAAAAGCGACTGTGGCTCGCTGACAGTCTGCGATGGAAAACAATTTCGCTCATCCAGAACAAATTACAAGTCAAGCATTTTGTTAATTTTTCTAAAAATATTTGCATTCCTGACTCCTATAATAACATCAAAAACATTTGCATACCGTGGTGATGGTAGGCTTGTGTTTTGGCTATTTTCGCTTTTATTTGGTCAGATAATACCAAACCGCTCGATCACTGAATATGAGGAAATAAGTGAAAAACTGTGCTACTGGCAATTTATCTGTTTGTTATTCCTTCAGTGTGCTTCGACCTTTAATAGTATTATATTAATCACGATGACGATAACAATTGCAATATAATGATAATACTAAACACCAAATTTTATCGTGAAGGTGAAACTGAAAAGCTATTTGTTTAACTTGAAAAGGTCAGAAACGCTTCGTCAAAGGTGTATAGGCTGTATATCTTGCAAAAATATTATAAACTAATCGATGCAAAAGTATTACCAACCTCAGGTATCAGGTAAGCGTTCGAATAAGTATAAACATACATATGTCTTATTAACCAAGCGCGAGGGCCGTACTGGGAGAATATCGGCCCGAGGTCTTGACAGTACGGACCGAGCGCAGCGAGGTCCGTACAAAAAAGACCGAGGGCCGATATTCTTCCAGTACGGTCTCGAGCAAGCTTGGTTAATAAGAGATTTATTACACGACTGAAGTTCAAAGGGACACAAGTGCGGTATCATTCGGGATCATTCGGGACAGTGCCCGGTCCAATACTGAGAGAATATTGACCGGCAATAGAGCATTTTGATTGGGTGATTTTAGTTATTGGCCCTCTGACTTCCCGAGTCGTGTAATAAAAGTAGATTATTGAAAGCAGTAATCTGATCAAATAAATAAATGTGTTACAGAATAAATATAACAATATGGTGCGAAGGTATTATCTGACTGTTTTAATCAGAACGTCCGAATTGTCAATGGGAGGGTTAAGAAATCTCTCAAAGAATTATGAAAACCTGCAGAAGACACTACTGTGTATTAATATAGTATCTGGAAGAGCATTCGAAAGTTAAGTCTTAGCTACATTCTGTTTCTCCATTGAAACATAGACTGAACGGTATTCTTATATAAACTTATGTCTGAATCTCGACTTAGTCAATAAAGTAATCACGCATGATGATCATTCACTAATAAAATGTTTATGATAAAGTTAAGTAAACATTTGTTTATCTTCACTTTGTCGTGGGAACCTTTCTTACAAGGACGCAGAGGAGGCTGAGATGAACGCCTTGATTTTGCTCATCTTTCTAATTTCAACTAGACGCATATCTGCGTGAACTCGGGCTTTCAATATCGCACATCTGGAGTTATCTTTGGGGGACTGCCATATTGCCATCGTTACTGTCGTCACGCAATTTCATCATTGCCGGTCACGAACAAGTTTACTTGTGTTTATGTTTGTCTGCTGGAGTGTAATGAATGTTGTTATGGTACTGGACAACAATCAAAATAATATATTACCATATAGGGGTAAGTTCCTATTGATGCCAAAGGTTGAAAGGCAAGGACTTTTTAATGACTTTAAAGGCCAAGTTTTAGAAAATTGAAGGACCACTTTTGGAAAGGTTTGCATAAGCAATTTTAAAATCATTTAATATTATTTCTCAACTTTTCCATGAAAGTACTGTAATTTTCAACTTGAAAACTGCTAAAGAAAAAGTATTGCAAAAATCAAGCCTTAGTCCTCAAATTTAAGTACTTTCAAGGCCTTGAGTTTTTAATTTTTAAATTCAAGCAACTTCAAGGACTTTCAAGCCTTTTACAAACCCTGAGTGTACTTGTCTTTAACAGCAAGGAGAAGGGAATTTTTTATCTATTATTGGTACCAAGTCAAAGCTTGTTGCCAAATGTCCACCCATGGAGAGTTGTCAGAAATCAGTAGATTGAGGCAATATTACAGTTCAATAGTTCATATAATTGTTTTGAATAGAAAAATCCCTGAATATTTAATACTGCTGATGGCCACAACAAGAGAAGCAGTGCTATTTACAGTTTTAGTATGTTCAATTAAAGGCATTTGACTTTCATTACATACCAAGAGGGAATACACATATTTTGACCTTTTTGTGGGTTTCAAAATAAATGTCATACAAAAATCTGAAAA